GAAAGAAAGAAAGGGTCCTTGTAAAAGTGTTTTCACTTAGGAATGATGCATAGCAAACAACTCTAACATTCAGACACTAGTAGGTTTGACAAACTTCTAGAATATCACTGCACAAGTCACCTGTTTGAAACCTATCAAAATAAAAGTGAATACAGCACCAGCTAGATCAGAGTCAGCCTGTTCATGTTTCATACCTGATAAAAACAATACTAAAATGCTAGAAAGTGAGATATGTACCTCCTCCAACTCAGATGTCAAGCAGAGTTAGATTCCAATTAGCATCTTCAACCCAAATAATTAACATACATGAGCATGGTAATTTAGCTAGAGCAAAGCCTACTTCCTTCTCTGGACCAGTCACGCTTGTTCATGTCTAAATACAAGAGATTGGGAAGATACTTACTGATACACATCTTGTAAGTACAGAATTAGGAAACTGAAACAATCCAACACAAGGAATACAATCCAAATGTCTGAATCTCAACTAGTCAAAACTGGCAACTTATAAAGAGGGTACATTCAGGAAGTCCCTTTCCAAAATGAAGTTCACATGGAGACAAAGCTGAAAGGCTGTTTGTTACGTTACAGACAGCAAAGAAAGAACAAAAAAAAAAAGGCTGGATATAGGAGCCAGTATTAGATAAGCCATCTGCCAGGAGGATTCCACAGAAGATGCAGGTTTTAAAAAAAAAAAAAGTGAATGATAATTCTTAGTTAACCTTTTGTGTAATTGCTACAAGGTATCAAGACAGGCTATGATGCATATTACATACGTTTTGCCTGAATACAAATCCTTCTCTAATCTCAGTAAATTTAACTCAGGGGTAAAGCAACCAGGCATGCATGGTAAGCAAAGACATTATGCTTGGGACTCATGCCTTGGGAGGGGGCTGGGGCTGCACTGCCACAACAAGCGTCAGGCCCCTTGTGGCTTCTCTGCCATCTGCCAGACACACCAACACCTTACAAGTGGAGGTTGTGGGCATTTTGGGCTCTTTGCCCAAAACCGCTGCCGACCCCTGATCTAATGCTATACCCTTCTCTCCCAATGATGCAGAAAAAGAAAGCTCACCATCTAAAGGACAAATGAAGGTTTCTTGGGTTTTGTTTTGTTGTTTATGTATACTGTTCCATGAGCTGGGGTGCATACGAAACTGAGGAAATGCCTCATGTGCCTGGAAAACAAAGTTTAATAAGCCCTTGAAGAGTACAATACCCAAGTCTCAATCTTAATATTTAATAGGCAAAATTAGAATCAGATCTGCTTTCCCATGTCTTTATTTAAGGAGACTGGTAAATATTGAAAGGTATGAAGGTACCTTATTTAATATGGAGTAGTAATTGCTGACCATGTGCTCGTATTTCTTGTGAGATGACTTTATCAAATTTTAGTCTTATGTTTTTGGTTACTTGCTTTCATTTTTGGAAAGGTTTTCTTCCCCTTCCTTTTTATATGAGAAAGGAAAACATTAGTCCTCCCGAACTAAAACCGCATGATTTAATAGCTTTTATTTACCTTTGGGAATCCTCAACCAGACTGCTCAATGGGGGTCTTTAGATTTGCTATTCTTGATTTACATTAAGATTATTTGCATGCACTACTATGACAACTCTTAACAGATCCTTGATACTTTGTGACTTGGTTAAAGTGTCAAGTTAGCACTGCAGTAAACTTAAGTTTCAGGCCTAAACCCAATTTAGGAGGGGATTTAATGGTACAACTTACATTGCTTCCTTGAGCAAAATAAGCTATGCTAGTAAAAGCATGTTTTGCCAGCATAATGCTTTACACCAGGGTTTATATAAAAATCACTATACCAATAAAACAAAAGTCTGCTCCACAACTAACATATGATAGCATAGCTATGTATACATACTACTGGTTAAAACATTAAAAAGCTTTACGATACAAATTAGGGAGGCTCAAGACATGCAAACATACTATATAGGTCAGTGACAGACATGAAGAGGCTCTTTACTCCTTTTAATTTCCAATGTAAAAAAGTATCAAGTCACCTTTGCTGATCTGAGCTTTACTACCAATCCTTCAGAATCAGGGAGGGGCAGGGCTGGAAGCAACTGCCAGAGGTCATCTAGTCTCAACCCCCTCCTTGAGGCAGGACAATTCCTATCCAAGCCATTCTGTACAATCCAATATCTAAACTCTTCAGTAAAATGGTCAACCCTGATAACGCAAGACCTAACACCATAGCCTACCACAGGTAAAGCAGGCAGACCATGGCAGGAAACATTGTGCTTCTGTAAAGGTTCTTAATATATGCTCCAGAACTTCCCAGAAAAAGCACAATGCCCCCCCCCCCATAGAAGAAGGCAAAAGACTCCCACCAACTCTGCTCACCAAGTCCCTACCTATCTGACGAAGGGGTATAATTCCTTCCTGAACCCAAATATGGTAACCAGTTTAACCCCAAGCAGAGGAGCAGGAAACTCCAGCTTTAAATACTAGCAAGAACACTGTTGTTAATCTCTGGCCTTGGCTATAGCCAACACTTAAGGCCTGTGAAGAAGGCTTAAACAAAAACCTCAAACAAAAAGTACAACCCCCCCAACCAAAATTTAGCACAGGTGTAGTACATATGTAAACAGGGAAGAAGTAGTTTTTCCCTGATATTCAGTTTAAGCCTACTTTGCCTCAACCTTTAAGCCACTGGTTCATGTCCCAATCCGCAAGAAAGAAGAGGGAAACACCTCTTTCTATGGCAGCCCTTCAAGTATTTGTAGGCTTGCTATCACCTTCAGCCTCTCCTTGTATGACTTGCTTTCCAAGACCCATGTTTGTGGCCCACCTCTGGACCTTCTCCAACTTCTCTATTTCCCTTTTAAAATCCGAAGTCCAAAGCTCCATATAATATTCCCAATAAGACCTAACCAGTGGCAAGTAGGAAGGCACTACTGCCTCTCAGGTCTTTCACTTATTACTTCTATTAATACATCCCAAAACTGCATTTATCTCGCATGTGGCTACTTCACCCCACAGCCCCATCTTCAGTCTGTGATCTACCAAAACCCCCAGAGATCCTCTTCCCTAATGCTGCCATCCAGTCAGATGTCACTCATTTTGCATTTATATTTTTGATTATTCTTCCCAAGATGCGATGCCTCAAATCTGTCATTGTTGAACTTCATTCTGTTAGATTCAGCCCAGCTTTCCAATCTGTCTAGATCCTCCTGAATTGTGTTCCCATCCTTTAGCATGTTCACAATCCTTTCCAGTTTCATGTAATCTACCGACTTGCTCAAGAAGCTTTCTAATGATTTGGATGCTGGCATACTCAACATGCTGAACAGCACTGGGCCCAGGACAGACTCCTAGGGGACTCCACTCAAAGCCGCCTGCCATTCCCATGTGGATCCGTTTACAATTATCCTTTGCTTGCAGCTATTGAGCCAGCTGCCTATCCACCTAGTAGTTTTATCTGGCCTACATTTCTTCCAATTGTTTGTTCAAAGCTTCCTTAGGGTCACAGGACTCATTTTTTAAACTGAATTTGGATGGTGCAATAGTCCAGAATTCAATGGGATATGGCTTCTTATTCTGCCAAGAATAAGAAACAATGACTTGGTAGATGCAGTAAGTTTGATGCTGAAACAGAAGCTGAACACAACCTAGACTTGCCTAACACAAGCCACAATGTTGTACAATCAACTTTTAAAAACAATCAACTATAATGTTTCACCCTAAAATATACTTAGAAACAAGTAACTGGGTTTTTCCCCCCCTGTTGGTAGGCCATAGAGAATAAACACAAGTAAAGAGAAGCTAATAAAAAAGCCAATTAAAATCGGAATGTATATCACTAACAACATTTCCCATGTTGCTGTGTGTGCTACCCTTTTCAGATGAATTGCCTTTTTAGGGGAGGAGCAAGAGAGGACAAGGTGATTCCACACCCAAGTTCTGGCCAGGAGCCAAATTCAGGAAAGAAGAGGTGGTATCCCACTTCAATCCACAAAATTATTTGAACTGTCAGAACAACTGTTGACTATACAGACCTTCAACCAGTAATTGGGCATGTTCCAAGTTCTAACATGCTCTTCTCAGGCTTGAATTATGTCTGCAGGCTTTTTGGCCATGGCCCCTTAACTTGAAGAAAAGGTTTTGCTAAATGCCATCCACTTGATGCAGCATCTCACACTGATTAGACATCTACAATCTTTTTTTTTTTTTTTTAAAACAGGAGGAAAGACCATCAGCAATACTGACAATTTGTTTCTCCCTTTGAAACCAGGGCTTCTCTTCAAACTATTTGTCTCGACTTTCACAGTCTCCACCCTTCCTATTTGTCATCCTGGTTTTTCTGCAACTTTGAAAGAACTTCAGGACATGTCTATTTTACCCCTCTGCACTGAGGAAGAAATCAAGAACGCCCATCTAGACCAGCGATTCTCAACCAGGGTGCTGTGAGATCCTTGGAAGGGTGATGCAAAATATTACAACTGTGGAGTGTTCAACATACTCCCATGATTTCACAGGATAAAACACGTTCTGACTTCTTATAAAGAACACAAAGACCACAACAAAATAACTGCTCTTTTTCTGTAGTCACAAAATGAATACAGGTGACCCTTGCCATTCACGGGGATATGTTCCCATGATCCCTGCAGACACCGAATGCGCAAATAGGGCACTGCATTCATGAGCACAGTGCCCCTGGCAGCTGTGGGGGCGGGGGCATGGCTTGGCAGTAGCAAGCGCAGAGCTCCTGAGAAGCTCCAGTAAGTGTTTAAAGTGTATTTAAAATGCAGGTTTGGCATTCATGAATATCTGAAACCGTGAATGCTGAACCTACAAATACTGAGCGTTTCCTGTAAAAGCCAAGATGTAGCACCCCTCAGAAAATGCTAGAAGTTGAGGCTGAGAATAACTGACCTAGACCAGTGGTGCTCAATCTGTGTCTGACCTGGAAGCTAGACAACTGGCGTAAGGCTGTCATCACAGATGAGATCCTACATGCAAGACTGCTACACAGGCCTGATCCAATGTGGCATGGTTGCACAGATGTGATCCAACAGAGCAGCACAACTCCATCCTTGAGAAGCTTGAGAGAGTCCAGAGAAGAGCCATGTGCATGACCAGAGGTCAGGGAAACAGACCCTACGATGACAGGCTGAGAGCCCTGGGGCTCTTTAGCCTGAAAAAGCGCAGGCTAAGGGGTGATCTGATGGCCACCTACAAGTTTATCAGGGGTGACCACCAGCATCTGGGGGAACGTTTGTTCACCAGAGCGCCCCAAGGGATGACGAGGTCGAATGGTCACAAACTACTTCAAGATCGTTTCAGGCTGGACATAAGGAAGAATTTCTTTACTGTCCGAGCCCCCAAGGTCTGGAACAGCCTGCCACCGGAGGTGGTTCAAGCGCCTTCATTGAACACCTTCAAGATGAAACTGGATGCTTATCTTGCTGGGATCCTATGACCCCAGCTGACTTCCTGCCCTTTGGGCAGGGGGCTGGACTCGATGATCTTCCGAGGTCCCTTCCAGCCCTGATGTCTATGAAATCTATGAAATCCACCAAATATGGCTACAGAGGCATTATATGGATGGCAGGGCTCCCCACAGGTCTACAAGTTCAGCCACAAGGGAGCACTGGAAGAGTTAGTGCCACAGTTCAAAGAGTAATCACCTTTTACTGCTACAGCTCCCCTGCCACCAGATTTCCAGACCCACGCGAAGCCCTAAAGTTTGGATTACCTGGCTCTGTGGGCCAAAGCTTGAGCACCACTTATCTAGCCGCCTGGCACGACCACACCTAAAAAGCCCTCTAGAATTTGTTAAGTGCTCTCTGAATCCATCCACTTTACGGTAATTTCATATAGATCAAGTTTTCCCAAGATTACTTACGAGGACATCATACAGGACACCTAAAGTACATCTCGTCTACTGCTTCTCCCTTACTTAAATCAGGTCAGTTACTTTGTCAAAGATATTAATTGGGAATAAATATCAAATCTTTGGGCTGTTTCTTATCAACTCCATATCCTTCAAGTTTCATTAATAAATTTTAGTAGTTCCTAGGAGCTGAAGTTAGGCTGACTGAGCTCCATTTTCCTGGGGTCCTCCTTTAGTCTTTGGGATCTCAGAGATCATTTTCAAAATCCAGCTCATCACTGCCAAAAATACCTCAGCTAGTTCCTAAAGGCATTAAGGGATAA